CTTTTCTCTCTATCTTGCAAAACTCAGACTCGTGCACTGTTCATCTTCTTCTCCAATTTGTTTTTCTGGCAGCTGCCAGAAGAACTCTGCCTTTCTTTTTCCTTTTTCCCTAGTCGAATTCTTCACAAAACACCTCATTCCTTACTTAAACACTTTCTTTTCTCATAAACCAAGCCTAATTTCTCTCTTAGTGCTAAACCCATGTTGATCTTGCTCCCATGCCACATGCCACTCATGCTGAGCTGAAAGACCATCTGTAATCATGCCAAAACTACCTGCAAGTCACCATTATTCTCGTTGGTGAAGATTATCCGAAATATCTCCTAAGGTTTTGCTGCCATTTCGAGGTATTTTGGGGCTTAATTTTCGAACCTAAACGAAAAGGGGCAATCTCCTCAGTCTGCCTTTTGCAACAAGCCCAGCCCATCTGCTGCTGGAAGGAAAAAGCCCCTACATCGTTTTAGTTTTATCTTAATGTCTTGACCATCATTACATACATGAGGATGTGTATTTGATCATCAAGAGACTTCCTAGAACTAGATTGGTCCTATATACGTATACAAAAACAAAGTTCAAAAAGAAAGCAAGAAAAATGAATTATCCACTTGTTTTCTGCTAAAAGTTGGTTTTTCTTTCACCACCTCATGACGAAGAAGAAGAAGAAAGGAATGTACATGTTTGTGTAGGTTGCACAGTGCATGCAAGTAACTTGTTTTCTTTTCTCTGTTCTTTTTCACTCAAACAAAACACTGTGGTTGGTTTCACTTTTTTAATTGCAAAACGAAACTAATGGCATGTTTACTAATCCGTAATTGGATTATGAGAAATTGAATTGAAGATGAATTGAATTGAGGAGGAGTTGGATTGAGAAGAATTATATTCCAGATTCCTAATGAAGTTGTTTACTAAACCATATGGATTGAGGGGAGTTAAATTATGAATTCATATTGAAGTTGTTTACTAAACCATATGACATTGTGATAGGATTGGTACTAAGTACTAAAATGTCCTCATTTTTGAGTTAAAGTAGGTGACATATTTGGAATTTTGAAAATTGTGTGAGGATATAATGGGTAAAAAAGATGAATTCCTAATGGGTCAATTTTCCAAGAATTAGAATACCACCTCCCATTCAGGAATTGAATTCCTCCAAAATGAGGAATTCAATTCCTAATTTTGTGTGGGCCCCGCTTACTTTTCAATTCCTTGATGTGAAGTAAGTGCATGAATTCTCTATAGATATAATTCAATTCCTGATGAGAATTCTAATTCCTGATTAGTAAACATGTCATAAGACACATATATTATAATGTGAAAAGAGTACAATGAGCCGAAAATATATATATATAAGTGAGAGGATAATATATTAATAAATAAATAAACACAAAATAGTAAATAATTAACAATAGATCAATGGTCAAGTAATGCCGCTTGTAAAGAACTAATTGTAGTACCTCAATAAATAAATACACACACAAGCAGTAAGTAACTTCAACTGAAACCCAAGTAATAAAGGGTAAAACCAAATAATGCAAAATGAGAAAATATGAGTTTGGGTGACCGTTTGAGGCGTGGATTTTCAGATTGGTGTCTAATTAGTCTAATTTCCAGCTCAAAGCTCCAAAGAGAGAGAAAGAGACAGGCAGGCCAATGGGTTGTTGCTGTTTTGTTGGTTCATTTCCAGCTCAAAGCTTCCACATTTCGAGCTGCCTTTGAGCTTCGGTTTCAGATCGAGCGCTTTTGCAGCTCCAATGGTCCGTCTTCTCTCCTCTTTCTTCATTGTTTCAGGTGCATTTCTCTTTCTTTTGGCATTGTTAATTAATGTGCATTTTCCCTTTTCGAATTTTGGGGAATTTAGTGGTTAATTTGCCATTTTTCTGCTGAAGTTTAGGGTTTGGAATCGAGGACATTTAGAACCCAGTCTTTAGGTTTTCACAAGTTTCTATTTTGTATATGAAACATAGGACAGTTGGGAGCTTCGGCCAGACGAGAGTTTCACAGATTTACTTGTTTTCTGTTTGGTTGCTGAGAAAATTTGGGGAAAAAATAGGAGTTCCTGATTGATTTAAGCCTGGAAGAAATTTGCTTTTAACTTCAGTTAACTACCTCTTGTCTTCTCAAATAAGCCTTACACTTCTAATTTCTGGATCCTGGTTCATTGATATAGGCTGAAGTAATGACTTTGATGCATTTATGCGATATGCTTTGTTAATCTGAATGGCCAAGCTCAACTACCAATATATATATATATATATATATATATATATATATATATTTTCTTTTTCTGAACAAATGACCCTACTCTGTAAATGTTCTGTCAAATTTGTACCAGGCTGGGAAAAAAAAAAGATTAAGAAGCCGAATTTTCGTTAGTCTAAAATCCCAGTATTTATGTCAATTACCTTATGAACTAGACTTGACTTGCTCTTTGGACCATCAAAATTGGCGTTTGTCTTTTAATTCTTTTCATGAAAGTTCTAGCAGTGTTTTGTTTGTCTGTGTGTTTCTGCATATGAAACTTTTTGTCTCATTGTCATGGCATTAGTTTAATTAGACCTTTGCACGATTTCTTTTCACTATCTATGTGTTTCATTTATTTACTTCACATCAAGAACCAGTGATCCAACTCCTACATGCCATTAAGGAAAAATAATAAAAGCTGAAAAGGGATTCTTTCAGAATTTTGTATGCTATGCTTTAGGGCTTTTGCTTTTCTTTTATTTTTTTCTATTCTTTTGTTAAATTTCTTGCTGATAACTCTGTCTTTCTTGATGCTTTGCAAGTCTTGAACCTTCACATTTTGCACAAATATTAGAAGGCATGGTAGGGCAAAAATGTGGCCTTCCCAATGTCAACTTTGTATAAACAAATTGTGCCTTTTCCATGCCCTATATGCTCCTATGATAAGAAGGAAGATGTGAAAATTGATTCCTGGATTTTTTCATATTTTAAATAAAGAAAAGACACTCCATTTTCCCTAC